GGGAGCGGGGGAGCCGGACAGTGCCGGGGGAACCGGACAGTGCCGGGGGAACCGGACCGGGAACGGGGGAACCGGACCGGGAACGGGGGAGCCGGACCGGGAGCGGGGGAGCCGGACACTGCCGGAGGAGCCCTGCCCGCCCCGCCGGGAGCTGTAGGCGGGCTCTGCCCCCGGGCGGGGCGGGGCGGGGCGGGGCGCGCTCCCCCCATAAAGCGGGCGCGGCGGGCGCGGAGCTGTGCCGGAGCCGCGCTGTGCTGCGGGGTTGGCAGAGATGCTGCGAGTGCGGTGCCTGCGCGGGGGCAGCCGGGGAGCCGAGGCAGCGCAYTACATCGGCTCGGGGGTTGGTGCCGCGCAGATCCGGGGCTGGGGACGAGGAYGAGGACGAGGATGAGGATGCTCCGTGGGGAGGGTCTCGAGTGGCCCCTTGGCCGGGGTGCTCCGAGCAGTGACGGGAGGGTGCGGGGCGGCCGCAGGCTTCTCTGGCCGAGGTTCACCCGGCATCGTCCCGCCACTGCCAGTGCCGTGCTCCCAKCTCAGTACCCTTCTAAAGTGACTCGATCTTAAAAGGCAAAATTTCCTTTGAGCATCGACCAGGCTGTGAATGAGTCAGAATGGCTGTAACAAGCTGTGTTTCTGTTRATACTACAAATACCATACATTGCTTCGGGATGATAGTGTTAAGGCACCTGTGGGCTGAACCATAGCTTTTTGCTTTTTGTGAGAGAAGCATAATTTTCATTCTTATTTTTATTTTAAGCTTCGAGTCTTTACAGGATGGGTGCAGCGAACTTTCCAGAGCACCCAGGCAGCCACGGCCTCCCAGAACACCTGTGCTGCTGATGACAAGGCTCCAAGCCCTGTGCCCAAGGACTGTCTTGTTTGCTCATATAATGAGTGGGATCCACTGGAAGAGGTCATTGTGGGAAGAGCTGAGAATGCTTGTGTCCCACCTTTTTCTGTGGAGGTTAAGGTAAACAATAAAAAAGAAATCAAAATATGGATTTTATATGTAAAATTTGCTTAAGCTTTACAGTGCATAAAGTGTGGTGTTAACTCTTCAGGTTTCTTCTTTCAAGGTGGTTGTTTACATCTGTGAAACTTTACAGGATAGCCATGTTGGTGAGGGATGTGCTTTTTTCTTTGGACTTTCAACTGAATTAGCTGTTTTAACAGAAATCACTAGCAGAGAGAACCTCTAATATGTGCTGTCTACTCTGCTAATAGTGCCCTGATGYTATCAAAGCACACACACAAGCTTTTGAGATAGTTGGTTGGACTGATGAAACTTTAATTTGGCTTGAAGCTAAGTACACTTGAAAAGCAAATGTAGTTTTCTACTTAACAGTCTGAGCAAGATTGAGCTATGTAGCTGYAGACTAAGAGGACTCTTGTGTTAAACCTCTCTGAAGTTGTTTACTAAAACTCCTGTGTGCTGCAGTAAATATTTTGTGGAAATATATAGTCCACTGTTCTTTTCAGCATTTTTGTATGCCTAAACCTACAACAGCAACCTAAATAAATCCATGATTATTTGTTCTCTGGAATCTCGTGTTTAAAACAGTAATACAAAAATAATGGGCTTGCTCCAGATTTTTGTGTACTTTACCTGGACTTTAAAGTTCCTAACAATTTGTATTACCTGCATTTTTGGGCATGTTCTTGATTCTTTCTCTATCATTGTTACYGTGCTACCTGCAGGGCAGTAATTCRTGRCTAGCACAGTAAAATGAGCTGGCACATTACTTCTGCCCAAGAGACCTTAGTAAAACTTAAAGGAAAAATTGACCAGAAGATCTCAGTTTAAAAAATAGAAAGAACTATGCTCTGACATTGAAAGAATGGCAAACAAAGATAAGGAAATTATGTTTAAAGTGCTGGAACTGGTTGTTTAGGGGAAGTTTGAAATGTACAGAAGACTTCTCTTCCCTTAGCCCTTTTTATATTTCTATGTATATACTTTTTTAGAAAAAAAAAATAGGTTTTTTTTTTTTTTTTTTTTTTTGAATCTCTTTATGATTCTAGGCAGAAGTGGTTGGAGGAGTGTGAATGAATAACTGCAGTTTGGTGTTTTAATCCTTTGTTGCAGAGTAATAATTTGATTTATGTGGGGATATTTGAGATGGTATCTTGGTGTCAGTGAGCACAATGAAAGCTTTACCACTGACTTCATTATCACTTGTATTTACTCCTTGAAAGCTGCAGCTCAGTTACCAACTCTGGAGTCCTCTTTCAGAGAGCTCCAAAGATATCCTGGCAGCTTCAGAGAAAGAGGTGAATGAGSATTAGCATTTCTAATACACAAGTTATGTACATATATTTATGTAAGACTGACATAATAAATGTATAAAATGAGCAAGGGAAAAATGTCCAACATTTTACATTGTAACATTAAATGAGGCAAAATTCTGTTCCTAAGCACCAGGAAAAAAAATGCTGCGTGTCTAACAAGCTGATGTGTGATATGCAGTACAGGTTTTGCTGCCTGTGAAGCTGTAACTACTCACATCAGGTCWGAACTTCACTTTCTCTTATGTGTGATATCAAAAGCTCAGTGAGGAATGGCAAAGTRCAGGATTTCCTCTGCGATTCAAATACCTGTGACTTACAGTGAAAGCAAGATTTAAATGAGCTTTGTGTCAATTGTCAAGTCCACATCAGGTAATGGGAACAGAGCCAGCTGAGATGTGGTTTCCTCTAATTTTCTCTGCTTTTGTCTTAAATGTTGTTGTAGAAACTGCARGAGTAACATTAACAGCTGGGGTGTATTGCTGAATAATCCAAGCAGCAGTCCAGTCCTACCTTGATGTTTTTGTTATTATTAATTAATAGATTTATTATTGCTCAAATCTCCGTGTGGCTGAAAGCTCAGGTGTGTATGTGTGTGTTGCTCCAGTATAAGACAATCACCACAAATCCCCRTTCCTGCCCCTGTAAGTGGCCAAACTAGAGTTGAGGTTTACCACGTGCTGTCTGCCAAGTGCATGAGGGTCACTGGTCATAAAAACTGCAGCTTAAAACTAATGAATTTTACTCTTATGAGGGAGATTTCCAGCTTTGCACCCGAGAGGCTCTAAAAAATGTATCTCAGATTACAGCAGTTTGGTAAATCCTTGTGTTGAGATTGTGTTTTAACATTGTATGCGTGTTTATTTACTAAATATTGAAATGCAGGGAGTATGGCTGCACTCAGCATTCTCTCTTGTACTTTGAGATAATGGTTTGGTGCACTCGAGTGTTTTTGCTGTGATTTGGGGATGATGTGCTTGGCATAAGAAGGAGGAAGGAAGGAATTGAATAGGGAGCTCTGCTTATCTGATGAATATTAATGAGATGACACTTAATTGCAAATCCTTTTCAGAGCTTGAAATGGGCTATGTAGAGGTAAATACAATATTTGAAAACTTGAAAAAATCTTAACTACAATGTTAACAGCTGCATTAATTAGGAAGATGCCCTTTTTTGAATCAGCATTTCAGTGATAAATCCCACCACTGAGAAGTGTTCTTCTGAAGCAGTTAACAGCCAAGCAGYTGAACTTTGTAGCTTTGTACTCTGCAGGGCGTTTCAGCATATTTTGTGGATAATAATGTATTTTGSGTGAGAAAGTATTATTAACTCAGATCATTATATTTTGAGTGAGAAGATGGGTGTGTGTACATGCGTTTACTACTGAATTAGGCAAAAAGAATTTTGATCTGAACTGAAGTTTTACTGTCCTAAATTTAATAATTGTCATTRCTAGGTTTAAGGTACATCTAGACAATGTTAATTATTTTCCATGACAAATGTTTAAATTAAATAGCAACGATAGGGAGCAATACTGCAGTTTCCCAAAGACAATCTTTCCTTGCAGCACACTCTTAAACTTCCTCCTGAAAAGAAAGAGTTAATTTTAAATGTTGTCTTTTCTGTGTCCTATTCTTGGTCCTTTTTTGGACAGTCTGAACTGACTTGTATRTCCATGACCAAAAGGGTCTGACATCTCAACCCTGATTTGCTATGAAATACATATTCCCAGCCATATACCCTTTYCCCAGTTATTCAGAAGGCAGGGAATATGAGTAGTGTCTCAGTGTTAACCCTTACCCTGCTGTAATTTTAGGGTTATGCCATCCCATTAGTGCAACACAAGCGTGGTTCCTCAGGTTTGAAATAAAGCAGCACTAGAGGACGTGGTGGAGAGAGGAATTGATGCTATTGACACATYATGGCTGGCTCTGAAAATAACCACCTTTGCTCCATAGGATAAATTTACCTCATTAGCAGAACATGTTTCCATAGGAATGTTGAGCACTTCATGTGATCTGCACGTGACTTCTGAGCAGCTGGCAAGTTTGAGGTGATCAAATTACCCCAGACTTCACTCACAGAAAAAGAACAAATTCCCTCAGGAAGGATGGGAAGACGTTCCAGAACTGGAGGAGCAGAATGCCCATGCTGAGGCTCTCTGTGTGAATGTTAAGGCTGAATGTTCTTTCTTCTCTCTTACCTCTATAGCATGAGGCAAATATCCAGAAATAGCAGTGGGTAGGGGCTCAATGGCAGTGCTGGCACAAAGGCACATTATTGTTGTGATTTTGGTGAGAACATTGTGTTCTGGGAGGTGGACAGGACTGCAGTGTCAGGAGACAGCCTCAGTTTTGGTTCTCCTGCAGCCCTTGCTGTCCCTCAAGCTGCCTGTGATGGGCTCTGTTGGGGAGAAAGCACCAACTCTCTGACCTGTTCCTGACCCTTTCTGGTGTCATTCCAGAGGGCTCCAAATGCACGTGCATCTCTGCTAACACTGACATGACAGGAACATCAGATACCTTGAACTGAAGCAGCATCATTTGTTTTGGTGATATGTCTGGGCATTCTCACCCATGAGGTCTAGGACATAATTTTGAATTTGTTTTTAATTCAAGAAGTCTATCATACCATTTCAGTGGAGGATTTAGGTCTGTGAAAGTTGTACTTGCTTCAATCCAACTCTGGCAGGTGAATTTACTATCTTTTGCTTCTTCTAGATTGCCACTGTGCCTGAAACAGTTCCTCCTGGCCAGCAAGGCACGTTACCTGTACTTGGGATGRCTTTAGAATTCCTGATGTCACCATTGTGACAGTACTCAAGTGAGGTTTGAATAAGGCAGCTACAGATGTGTAGATGCATTTTGGAGATGAGCTCAAGGTTGTTTTAGTTTATAAACATGTCTGATAGCCTTATTAAACAGCAGAGTCTACAGTGTTTGCCACTTTTGGAGTGTTTGCACAAGCGTTCTGTAACAGGGACCAAATGGCCACTTGGCAATGAGAGTCACTCAATACTAACTGAAGAGAAATGTGGTCAGAATATTGCAGGGATCAGATAAAAGGCACACTCCAACATGTCAGATCAAGAAAATTTTAATGCTAAGGGTTGTGTCTTACACATCTGTTTCACTCAAAAATAACTGATGCTTATTCTTTGTCACTCCCTGTCCTTTTCTTTTAGGCAAACACATATGAAAAATATTGGGGATTTTACCAGAAATTCGGAGGCCAGAGTTTCCCCAAAGACCATTTARAAAAAGCTATTGCTGAAATTGAAGAGATGTGCAATATTTTGAAGGGAGAAGGTGTTATTGTCAAGAGGCCTGATCCAATTGACTGGTCTGTGAAGTATAAWACACCTGATTTTGAGTCTACAGGTAAATGTTCTTCTGTTGTTGAAGGTCTTGTCTGTTTAGGTCTTGTCTGAGACATTTGGGATGTCATCCAGTCCACCTTCCTGCTAGGAGCAGGGTTATTACCAGCACTMAGTGACCTCAGTGTTGGTTTTCTGTAGCTGTGACTTGGAAGATCTCYAGGGGTGGAGATTCTGATTTGCTGACCTGCTTCAGTGCTGTGTGAATTTCCTGATGAAAGAACCTTTGCCTGACACCCAACCTGACCCTGCCACACCAGAATCTCTTGCCAGGTTCCCTCTCCAGGCTGTCACTGGCACAGCCAAGCAGTGTCAATCTGCAATGACCCTCAGTGGCTGCAGACTGGCACTGCTTTGTCCCCTACTTGGCACATGAAATGAAATGCTCTGAGCCCTTCTGGCTGTCTTGATAGCTCTCTGTTGGATCCTAGAGTTGGATTCATCTCAAACCATGGAGGACAAAACAGTTGGAGGCAACACTTTGCCAGGAAGGTCCTCACAAGTGTGGAGGAAATGTGAATGTCCCTTTACCTGCACATGTTCCTCCATGGGTGGCACATTTGGGTTTGGTTGTCTGCCTCACCAAGCTCTGCACCAAGTGTAGTCCTCAGGCTTCTTTCATGTAAAATATGCTGTTAAATTGTTCCAGTGAAATTAAAATTCATTTAGGAACAGATAATGAGAAGCCTAATGGAACTGCTTTCTGCACTGRTTCTGTGTTCCATCAAATTCCTCTTCTGTGCTGTTACTTTTTGAAAGGATGGTATGCAAAGAAATGACATTCCATTAGAAAATTTGGCACCTATCATCACTTTTTAAAGTCATCTGGATAATTAATAAGCCTTGGTTTAGTTAATTTGCAAGATGAAGTGAGGCTTTCAAACTATGAACTGGAGGCTTGATGGTGGATGGCTTTCATCTAGCTGGGRATTTGTTATGAGTGAGGCTTTGTAGCTAAAGTTTCATGTATTTTGAAAAAAAAAAATATTASTTTGRAAAAGTACTGACAACTGTAAGGACCTAATATGATGTGCTGGCTTCCTCAACATTGCTAACAATACTTTTTGACAGTTTAGATAGAAATAATGGTAAAAGGAGGGTAAAAAATGTGTTGGCTGAAAGAGCCAAGAAAGGTATATTTGTCTCATTAAGGGTCACTTTCCTTCCAGGTATGTATGCTGCCATGCCAAGAGACATCCTGTTAGTGGTGGGAAATGAAATTATTGAAGCTCCTATGGCTTGGCGTGCTCGGTTCTTTGAGTACAGGGCATATCGACGACTAATCAAAGATTATTTCAACAGTGGTGCTAAGTGGACAACTGCCCCCAAACCCACAATGGCAGATGAGCTCTATGATCAGGTACTGTTCTAGTTTCCCTCAGAAATTCAGTTCTTTTTATACAGAATTTTGCTGATAATTTCAACCTCTTACCTAGGATTCACAAAATCCTGGGGGAGAATGACCAAAACAATTCTGGAGACTTGTTTTGTTTTGTTTTGTTTTTTTTCTGGTGCATGCAAACATTCTGCAACCTTTGCAGCTGAAACTCAGCATGGGCAATCAGAGAATAAGGAACAGGAAGTTGTTTCTATTGAATTCCTCTGCTTTGWATTGTTTTGGTTACTGGCTCTAACTGAGCATTACTAAAGAGGAAGGAATGCTAGAAAAAACCTCACAGAGATTAAAGAATGAAGTTTCCCTGAGAATGTCTCTATGTCCTGAGTGCATTAGGAAAGTGAGAAAGGATACATATTTTGTCACAGAAAACCTCCCCAACTCATAATTGGCTTTTTGTATGATGATTGGTATTTTGAAAGTTATATAAAGGAAATAGTGGAGGGTCAAAACTGTGACTATTTACCTTCCAAATATTAAAGTGAATAGTTTCTTTTTTTTTTCCCCTAATAATTTAGTCTTGGAAAAATCTGGTTGTTTCCTATAGGCTTCCACATGCACTAGGACCTTGGTGACAGCATTTGCAATAAAGGCAGTAAACTAGTTGTGCAATAATTGCGATTTTCTGGGAACAGTATCATCAATGATGCAAAGATGTCTTTGTTAAATAAGAAAATTACCCTAAAGTAATATATCAATATGAGAATTTCCAGAATCTGTTCTGAAACATAGAAACTCCTTATCTGGTTGTTTTGGTTTTTTGGGTTTTTTTTTCTGGATTTTTTACATCTGACTTGTTTTTATTTGCCTTGTTTAATATTAAAGTAATGATCTGTCTTCTAGTTTGAAGTACTGCTCCATTCTAAAATGTGGAAAAGTACCTTTGTTAGGAAATAGCTTCCCCTCCAGTACTTCTGTCACTGTGCAGTGATTTGTTGGACTGGTAATTAAACTACACTGGTAATGAATACTTTTGATCATGACATCAGAATATTATCCAAACAGTGGCTCTGAAGAGCAATTACTTTCTTGATAAAACTCTTGTCTCTTATCTCATTACATATTCTTGAATGTGCTCAAAGCCTTTCACTGTAGGTCCACATTTTGATTTTCTTTCCTATTTTAGCAAGAAGAAACCATAACCGCCTCCAAGGAACATACTAGCTATCAATATTAACTCCTTTTCCTAATTTTAAATTACTCTTCAGTCAGAAATAATTTGAGAACTTTCTTTTCACATCTCCAAACTAAAGTTGTCATTCCCTTTTTCTACAACTAGAATTATCCAATCCACTCTGTTGAAGACAGGCATAAACTGGCTGCTCAGGGAAAATTTGTAACTACTGAATTTGAGCCATGCTTTGATGCTGCTGACTTCATTAGAGCTGGAAGAGATATCTTTGTACAAAGGAGCCAGGTAAACAAAGCTTTATTTCAACAGCTTTGGGATCTACCTTAATGCTTGGTATTTTATCTTTTTAAATTCCCAAGCAGCATTAGAAMAAGAGTGTTGGCAAAAGGAATTGCTCTTTATAGAATGTTTGATATACATGATAAGACTGCCTTCCAGGWTAGGAGTTAGCCAAAGGCACAAAATTCTCTATTACACTTGCTTTAAATATTTAATTAAATAAAACCTTAGACAAACCAGTCTTGGATGCAGTTTTTATTGCAGCCTAGTAAACCTTGATTTGTCCTGTTTTCAGGTGACAAACTACATGGGTATTGAATGGATGAGGCGACACCTTGCACCAGACTATAGAGTGCACATAATATCCTTTAAGGATCCCAACCCYATGCACATTGATGCCACTTTTAACATCATCGGGCCTGGTCTTGTTCTCTCTAACCCAGACCGGCCCTGCCATCAGGTGAGAGTGTAAAAGGAGGGGGAAAGTGTTTTGTGTTTAAAAACCCTCAGCTGGATTAGTTCCCTGCTGAGTAATTWCTATTCCACACATTCCACTGTGTGTTTCTTCATAGRTACATGGTTAAATATGATGGAAGTMATTTAATTTTTAATATTGTAYCAAATCAAGCATTTGGGATTTACARCTTCTCTGAAYATTTTCRCTACTTAAATACTTTGGTTGTATCCTAAGAGAAATGGAAGGTTTTCTGCTGCTCAGATGAGGGATCACCTGTTTTATTTCTGTTTTGGAAATCTCTTCTTTGGTATTAATTGAACCAGTGCCAGGAAGCTGTAGTTGTTCAGGTATTCAGCTTTGAGTAACTGAGCAACAAATACCTTCTGAAGAGCAGGGAAGAGCAGAGACTTGTAAAACCTGCTCTTAGTCTCTTCTTAGAGGGTGGTTTCAATGCAAATTGTCTGAGTGAATTACTGCCTCTTTTKGTATCCGTTCTGAGAATGTAATTTTTAAAACAAACCTATTTTCCCCATCCCTTTTCCTTCCATAGTTTCTCATAATGTTACTTGAAAGAGGATTTTTGGTCTCCTTGTATGAAACCCATGTTCTGGGTTTTTTTTTTTCCCAGGGAAAGCTGCTGTCTGTGTAGATAGAAAAGATAAATGTAGCTTGCTTTCATAAAAAACTGCTTTGGCAGTTCTGGAGGACCGGGAAGTGGTGGGGTGTGTGTGAATGGTGCGGATGAAAGGGGGCTTTTCTTGAATGGTGCGGATAAAAGGGAGCTTTTCTTTAAAATCCTGGCAGGAGAGGCTGATTGAGTGCTCGGGATTGGAGCCCCACCTCGTGGTAACGCTGGAATATTCGCGAAGGCTCTTCCAACTATTCAGACARTGTAGCCTAAAAGTCAATTCTCCTTGGCCAAATTGTCCTCCTCTTATTKTTTAACTCAATTGTGTAATTCTTAAAGACACAAAATATTCCTTACGATGTCTTTACATTTTTCCCTTTTTTAAGTGAGCTGTACATTAGTTTTCTTATAGAGTGTGAAGGAAAGGTAATTTTGTGTTATTTCTGATGGGTTTGTTTTTAGAAACATCAGTGTAATTCATATCAGTCAATGGCTTTTAAAATAGTTTGGGAAGAAATAACATTTAAAAATATTTTTGGGCTTTTACCAATACATTTACTTAACAGGCACCAAACAGCAAATGCTGTTTTGTCTTTAACCTATCTTAGTATACCTAGCATATATAAAACTGATAGAAATAATTGCTATCGGTATGCAAAATCTAAAAAKACTTTTAAAAAATGCTTGTATGAAAACTGGGTTTGTGGATGAAACTTGAATAGTGAACAGAGAGCAGGTCATGAATTGAAGTATTGAAATATTATGAGAAAATCTGGCATAGGTTGGAGAACATCATGTGATACTCTAAGAACTCTCCTGAGGATTTATTTAAATTGCTCTTCCAGATTGAGCTCTTCAAGAAAGCCGGCTGGACTGTGATTCAACCCCCAGTGCCACTCATCCCAGATGGTATAGTCACCCTTCCTTTTCTAAGGATCCCAAGAGTATTCTTGGGTGTATTAATATGGARTAACATTGGTACAGTGCAAGGTTTTTTCTGTGCTCAGATCACCCGCTGTGGATGTCTTCCAAATGGCTCTCCATGAATGTCCTGATGCTGGATGAGAAACGTGTGATGGTGGATGCCAATGAGACCTCCATTCAGAAGATGTTTGAAAAGCTGGGTATGTCCTGACACACTTCTACATAAACATAAAATTATTGTGCTACCAGCCAGAGAAAATGGAGATTTTACTTAGAACAGTAAAAGCAGCCAACACTGGAAAAAGTACTCAAACAGTGGGATTAGCAAGTAAGAATCATTCAAGGATTTTTCTCCTGAATACTTCAGTCATAGAAATGTGATCTTTTGCCCCCTACAGCTTRCAGCACATAAAAGGATGAGTAGTAACTAAAGCTATTGCTAGGATGCCTTTGAATGAGCTTTTTTAATGTGAACTGTCTGTTCACTTTAAGGTCAACATCTGTCTTGGAGAGGTTGAGTGCACTTATTGCTGAATGATATAGAGCTGGTTATCCATCACTGCCAAAATGCTTGCAGATTTTTTCAGTTGCAAACCCATTGTACTTAAAAAATGTTAAATTAAGACCACTTATTCCAGGAATTTCTGGAATTTTATGGAGAATCTGTGAAATGCAACTTCACGACAATGTGGAGTTCCTTCAGATGAGCAGTCACAGGAGAACTGTAATTGAACATAAAATCTGGAAGTCTTATTATGCACAGCTTCTCAGCCTTAGGTTGTTTTAATGCATGACCAAGGAGCTGRGGATTTATAAATGCCTGAAAGTACTTAAAAAATGAGGCTAGTAATGCTAATCATGGCTTTTCTTTCACACTTGCATTTCACGTGTATGTAAGTTCAAAATAAACTCTGGTAGCCAGAAAGTTTATAGCACTGAGATGAGTCCACTGGGAACAAAACCTTTGCTGATCTAGGTGATAGATTCTACTATTCTATTCTACTGAGCTGCTCCTGAGCTCCTGAAAGTACCAAGAAGCAAAAAGGCAAACTCTGTTATARAGAAGTTGTCTGATCCTTCTGTTAGGACTTTGTATAAGCTGAGRCACAGCTGAAACACCAGAGGTGAAAAAAAAAGCGGGAGGAAGCTTAACCTAGGTAATAAGAGCCTCTTTTCCCTTTCAGAGAAAGAGGGAATCAGAGATTTTACCTTGAATACTTCTTTAYTTGAAAGGCATTTGAAAGAGCACATTCAGTGTCTGAACTGTAAATGCTCACACATAGTTGTGAAAATGTGTCCTGATCATATATTGTAGCAGATTTTCAGCTAATTCTTCACATGTCACAGAAATTGAATTTACGTTTTTATTACTGGCACGTCATAACACATCAAACACTGRCTGTGCTCCAGGCTCCAAGAGGATATCACTGGAATAAACAAGCCAGCTGTGTTCCTAGTTTATTCTCTGCCTAGAATTTGGGAAAATAAATTCTTAACAAACTAATAGGCAACACTTCCCATACTCACATCCTAGCCAAATGATCTGATAAAGTATCATCCCATGTTCCAATCAGAGCTTGCCATATGAATTTGAGAGTCTATTTTAAAAGTGTCCATTGTATATTTCTTCCAGGCATTTCTACAATTAAAGTGAACATTCGCCATGCCAATTCTCTGGGAGGTGGATTCCACTGCTGGACATGTGACATCCGCCGCCGTGGCACCTTGCAGTCTTACTTTGACTAGGAAATAGGTAGCAATGGTTCAGCTTCTAAAATAGGCGTAGGAAATGTGCAAATCACTGTCACTTTGGTTAAAATGACTGCATRAGCTTTAGTGCTTGATAAGTGGTATCCTCGTAATGGTCTGGTAAGTGTTTTATTCTTAAATATCCTTCAMCTTCAGCAGGATAATTGAAACTACTTCCATCAGTAATACAGGTTTTCTGGCTGCCTTTTTGAAAGACATCCTTCATCTACGAAGCCTTTTCACATTGGCTTTGAATGTAAAAGCTTGACAAGATAGCTAAAAGGTCTTGTTAGAAAAGCTTGGCCACTAATATTGGATATCTACCTCCGTCTARTTACTCTATCAAATAGGCAGCTTGAAATGTGAAACTTGAGTACACTTTTCTTATTCCTTCTAATCCCTTTATTGTTCTAATATAGTCATGTCTAATGAAGTTGAAATAGATGCAACTGTATAGATCTCTTAGGGAACCAAGTAATTTTATCATGTTTTTCATGTCTAGCCATACAGATATTTACAGAGAATTTTCAGTATGATCTAACTTTTAAGACCTGTTCACTTACTTGCCATGTTCTTCTACATTTTCTTCTGATGCATGTCATGCACCTGAGTACTTTTTTATATTGCTTTTGTATTGCTGAAATTGGGTTTTATTTAACTTTTAAGTGTACAAATGATAGCTAATATTCTGCTTGTACAGGTTTCACTCTGAGATGTTTACAWAACTTAAAAAGAGGCACAAAAAACCACTTGACATCTTACAACCCGGTCTTCCTTCAGCTGTAGCAGATACAGAAATATGTATCAAACGTGCCAGATGCCATGAAGGAATTTGAGTATTGATTCCTGAATATGTACTTTTTATGCTAATAAAGTGTTTTGCATTCTCAATTGGTTGCCCTGCAACTGCTGTTCATGCTTAACAAGGGCAGGCTGATGTCTACTCACCTCCACCTAAAGTCAGTCTTGGTTTTAAATTCAGAAATTAGGGCCACTGCCTGGTTGTTTGTTGTTTGTTTGTTTGTTTTCTGGGGTTATGCAGTGCAGGTGGAAATCTGAGTGTTGGATCCATGTGTATTTCTACCAGGTAAAGATGTTGCTCCAGCCTACCAGACTGTCTCAGGCACTTCAGTCCTGCTGGGCAGCTGCCCGGTGTGTTCAGCTGTGCTGAAACTGTCAGGATACCCCTCAGCCTCCTGCTTTCATCGCTTCTCAAGAGGGTCTGCTTCTGCTTCCCTTCTAGAGCATTCTCTGAGCTTAATTAAGCAGGCAGGAAATAGCTTTATGATAATGAATGATGACCCAAGTTAGTGGYTCATTCATTAGTTTATAGCAAATTGTCACAAGTTAGGACTTAATGAAGTTAAATATATGAATATGAGAAGGACAACCTTCCCAAGAGTTTTTTACTGCTATGTTATTTTCGTAACAGTGGGAGTGTAATGACTGGGGCAGCCCCACAAGAAATGAATTAGCACAATCCAAGGCACGCTCTGTAACAGTTTACACCCTCTCTCTGCTCACTCTGTGTCTCAAATGACAAGATAGTGGGAGAAACTCTTTGAGACTTAGAGAGGATAACATGAAGGTGATTCCAGCTGAGACAGAGGTACTGAGGCAGAGACTGAGATACTCCCTCAGGTATGTCGATCTATCTGTTATCTACAAGAAGATGGTTTGACCTGATAGACTTAATTATGCTTCTGTAGGCTCCCGTGTAGAAAAAAAGGTGTAGAAATACTGATTCGTGTTTCTGTGTTGGCATCTCATTGGTCTTGTGTTGTTTTCCGACGTGTTATATACCTGTCCGGTACCCGGAGACCCGGCCCGCATCCTCGGTACCGGAGAGSCCCGCACAGCTCCGCCTGTGACCACGGCACTGCCCGGAACGCGAACGGCGGCAGTCGGGCGGTGCCGGGGGCAGCAGCGGGCGGGGCGGGCGGCGGGAGCCCGGCGGCGGGACTCGCTCTGAGCCGGCTATTTTTGCCGTCGGCCCGGACTAATCCCCTGAGCCGCTTCCCGGCATTAGGTAACGGCGCGGCGGCATGCGCTCCACCGTGTCCCCGGCCCGGACGACCACCGGCAGTCGCGGCGCGGCGGGACCAGCGGCGACACGCCCGGTGCGGGCTGGGGACCGTGGGCATCCGCCGCCGAGCCCCGGCTGGGCCCGGACCGAGGCCGGCAGGTAGCGGCGGGCGGCGAGGAGGGCCGGGGGCGAACATGCCGGGCCCGACGCCCGGCGGCTCCCCGGAGAGGGAGACGGGGACCGGCGGGCGGCCGCGGGGGCCCGGCAGGGACCGGCGGGTGCGGTTCCGGCTGCCCCACACTGCCATCGCGGTGCCGTCGGTGCGCGAAGAGGAGCGGCTCTTCTACCGGCGGCTGGAGACGCTGGCGGTGCCGGGACCCGGCGGCTTCGAGCCGCTTTTCGCCGCCGACGGCTGGAGCGACTTGACGGGTGAGCGCCGGCGGGCGGCCCCGGTGCCAGCCGGGCCCGGAGCCCAGGCTAGGACGGCCGGTATCGGAGAGAGCCGGGCAAGGGGTGCCGGTTTCGGGGTTCACGGCTTGACTGTCAGCGCCTCCTCCTCCGCAGAGGACCGGCTGCTGCGGAAGCGCGTGGTGCGGGCCGGGCCGGGCGGGCCGCGGCCGCTGCCGGGCCAGGAGGTGTCGGTGAAGGTGCTGGGCGCCCTGGAGGACGGGGGGCTGGTGGAGCGGGACCCGCGGCTCATCTTCGTGCCGGGTCACGGGGACGTCGTGCAGGTGAGCCCGAACCGGTGCGTGGGTCAGTGTCGTGCGGGCTCAGAGCCGCCCGGGGCTGCGACCCACCAGCCCCGCCGTGCCCGTCCACAGGCTCTGGAGCTGGGTGTCCCCACCATGCAACCCGGGGAGGTTTCCTTCTTCCTCGCCGCCTTCCCCTACGCCTATGGCCGCCCGGGCAGGTAAGGCGGGCGGGCAGGGGCAGCGAGCAGGCGGGGACTGAAAGAGGAAGGGGGCGGGAGGGCAGACGGACCCGGGGCGGGCAGGCGAAAGGGATAGGCGAGGACAGAAGAGCCAGAGCTGGTGGGGCCCTGCGAGGGCGGGCAGGGCACACGGGCAGGGCACATGGGCAGAAGTCGGGGACAGCCGGCGCTGTACCACCAGGGAACCCGACGTACCGCCCGAAGCGCCGCTGYTGTTCGAGGTGACGCTGCTAGAGGTGCGGGACGACCCCGACCCGCAGCTGCTGCCGCCCGCCGTCCGCCTGCGCCTGGGCTCTCAGCGCCGGGAGCGGGGCAACTTCCACTTCGCGCGGGGTGACTTCGCGGCGGCGCTGCGTTCGTACCGGCTGTCACTGCGCGCCCTGGACGGCCCCGCCACCGGTGAGACCGGCCGGGAGGGAGGGCCCGGGGCTGCAGGGCTGGGGYGCTGAGGTCGCTGTTCGCCCCGCAGCTCCGCCCGGGCCCGAGGAGGAAGAAGAGCTGCGGGAGCAGCGCGTTAAGTGCCTCAACAACTGCGCGGCCGCCGAGCTGAAGCTGGGGCGGGCGGAGGAGGCGCTGGCTGCCTGCGAGGCGGCGCTACGAATCGACCCCGACAACGGTCGGGCGTTGCTCCGGCGCGGGCAGGTGGGACTCGCATCGCCTCACACCGCCCCGYTCCTTTCGGCCCGGCCGTCCGTCACTCTCCGCCCCTCTCCGCTCCTCTCCCCRCAGCTGCTGGCAGAGCAGGGCCGGGATGCAGAAGCTGCGCTCGTCCTGAAGAGAGCCCTGGAGCTGGACCCGGCCAGCAAGGTCTGGGAGGCGGGTGCGAGGGCGGGCGGGAGTCCCGCAAGATCTGGTACAAGGAGCGATGGGGAGGGAGAAGGAACACGCGGGAGTCTGTATTGGGATCGTCGGGGGTCCCASMGGAGTCCTGCCCGCCGCAGCCGCCYCTYGCCCGCAGGTGATCCAYACGGAGCTCTCTCGGCTGGCGAAGCGCCAGAACCCCGCATCCAGGACCGGCTCGCAGAATCCCCGGCACGACCCGATGCCGCCGCGGAGYCCCGAGTGCGTACGCGAATCGGGCTGTGCAGGGACGGACAGCAGTCCCGGAGCCTCTCGGCACGTATGGGCACTCATAGCCGTCCCTTCCGTAGATCCCCCGCACCGCCTGCGTCGGAAGGAGCGGTCTGAGCGACGCCGCGGCACCCCACCGCCTCACCGAGGACACAGAAAAGCTCTCATCCCGTTGTCCCTGCATCGCCCCCCACTCCCGGCGGCGGAGAAGAACGCTGCGGGGGGCAGGGCTGAGGGCGGAGCGGGACGGCGCCCCGCCTCCCTGCCCCGCACGTTTCGCACCGCTGTCCCCGCTTGGCAGAGCTCCCCGCACGGCCCATGCCGTCACGGCCGGGTGCGGTGCCCCCACGCCGCCATCCCGTTCTCGCGGGGGCAGCGGCGGCGCCTGCGCCCAATCTTCCGGCTTTTTCGCCCCCGCCGGCAGAAGGGCGGCCATAGCCCGCGGCCAATCAGGCGGGGTTGTGCCGGAGAGACGTGCCAATGGAATTGCAGCGGGGGGTGGATCGGCGTGATGATTGGCTGYGGCTCCCCTTAAAATGCGGCGCGGGGCGGGGCGTGGGGGGGTCAGTGCGGGACGTGGCGGCGGAGTGGAGGTGGGAGGGAGCGGCGCCATGACCCGTGAGTGGAGTGGGGGGAGGGAAGGGGAAGAGAAGGAAGAAAGGAAAGGGGGTGGGTGCCGGGGTTGACGAATGTGGTGGGCCGGAGGGAGGGGGGGCCGTTCTGGGACCCAGGAATATGGGGGGACCGTGCCACGACCCACCGGCGCGCCGGGACCCGCCCTGCGGACAGTGGTCGGGCCGGAGTGTCGGGGGGTGGCGCCGCGGGCCGTAAGCGGGGCCGGGGCCGGGGCTGGGGCGAGCCGCGCTGAGGCGGCTGCGCTGTGGCAGGCGGGAACCAGCGCGAATTGGCACGGCAGAAGAATCTGAAGAAGCAGAGCGACTCGGGCAAAGGCAAGCGGCGGGACGACGGGCTCTCGGCTGCCGCCCGTAAGCAGAGGTGAGCGCCAGGCCGGCCCCGCCGGCTTGCCCTGCCCCGCTCCCCGCTCCCGCCCCGCGGCGGTGCCGGCCCCGCCGCCAGCCCCGCCGCGCTCCCCGCAGGGACTCGGAGATCATGCAGCAGAAGCAGAAGAAGGCCGATGAGAAGAAGGAGGGCAACAAGTAGCGGGCGGCCGTGCCGGCCGCCGCCCCAGGGCCGGTCCCGCCGGCAGGATGCCCCGCGCCGCCCCAGCCCGGGTCCCGCCGGGATCCCCGGCATCGCCCTGCGCCTTGCGGCGCCGTCCCCATTAAAGTAGCTGTGGAGCCCTGCACGCTGCGTCTGCTCGTCCGTACGCCGGGCGGGGGGTGGGGGAGCGTGGGTACCGCCGATGGAGCAGTCGCATCCGTGGAGAGGAGGAAGGACGGAGTGCGACGGTGGCAGAGTCAAGCGGCGGCATCTTGACGGTGAGGAGGAACAAAGGTGTGGTCGGGCCTGGGCGGTGCTWGGGGCAGCACCCGGGGATCAGCGCGGGGACTGAGGGCCGAACGACCCGGGGCCCGTGGGAGAACCGGGAGCCTCGAGGCACGAAGCTGGACGGCATGGTGTTGGAGCGAGCCGGGGCGCAGGCACCGGGCTCAGGGCCGGTGGAGKGCGGCGGAGGAGAGATGGCGGCCGGGCCTGCGCACCGGGGGAGAACCGCGCTGCGGCACGGCCGGGGCGGGCCCAGCTGCAGCTGCCCGTGCGCCGCGCTGTGTCCGGCTGCAGCGCGGGGCTGTCCTCGTGGCTGTTCTAGGGTCTAGCCCAGCGCCGAGGCCGCTGCCCATCGTCCTTTTCMCCTCCCTGCAGGGCCAGAACAGCGGCATCAGCCTGACCCGGCGGCATAGGGACAGGTCCTGGGGACGGGTTCTGTGGCAGCACTGCCTCCACCACGTTGGTGCTGTCCTTGCCGCTGAATAGGCAGCTGTGTACCTAGGGATGACAGTGGGGCCCTGGTTACTCCAGGAGCCCTGAGGAGCTGCTGCTCACCATGGCCAGCTGCTGCTCATGGGCCATGTGGTCCCTCTGCTAAGCCAGGCCGCAAGTCCATCTTGTTCCCCACCAGCATCAGTGGCTGTGACTGCTCAGTGTGCTTGATGTCCCGTGGGAGGGAAAGGTGGCATGGGGTTCCTTGGGGCTGGCAGCTTATGGCCACATTGGCTGCCTCTTGTCACACCTGTGCTGAGCCCTGGAACCAAATGTAGTTCCAGACCCAATGCAAATGCCAGCAAAAAGGAAAACACTGAGGGAAGCACTCACACTTTTTTTGGGGTCCCTCTTGCCTGGCAGTAGCCCACCTCCTGCCTGCCTTGTTCCTGTTCCCCAGGACAGGTTTGGGCACAGCACATCCCACCCTCCTGAAGCCTCAAGGCTCTTGCCCCTCTCCTGGGGGCTGGGTGCCTCTTGGACCCTTGCCACCTTGATGTCCTCAATCCACTGGTGGACACTGAKGAAGTTGCTAGGGGAGCTGATGTAGAGGAGCAGCATGCCATGGGCTTTGCGGACGTAGGCCTCCAGTACCTGAGGGTGGGGATGTCACTGCTGCTGGTGTGGTGASTGGCTGCTGCTGGAACCCTGCCACCACCCCAAGCCCACCTTTCACCTCTTCTACCCAGCAGTGTCCCAGATCTGTAATGAGGTTTGCTCCCTATCCACCAGCAGCTGCTTAAACTGCCAGAAAGAAGAGTAAGGCCCTGCTCCTGTGTATCTTACCTGGCTGTGGAGTTAGGGGTGCTGGAGGCTCATAACGAAGGGTACTGGGGATGTCTCCTTGGAACTCATTCATGCAGAGGCACAGCAGGACGCTGGACTTCCCTGTACCCATGTCCCTGACCAGCACCAGCTGGTACATGGGGCAGRGGGGCATGGGTCCCTCCTTCTCACACCCTTGCTGAGACAATGGGTGTGGGTGCCAGCACAGGGGTGTGCTCAGCTCCCCCAGCCTGGCCCTTGACACCACATGGGCGGGGGGCAGACAGTTACCTCTGGGGTAAAGGCAGGAAGCTTCTTCTTGCCAGAGCATTTGGTAGCCACTATAGGGTCCCTCTGCCTAGCCTCTTTGAGGGCTAGGACCCTGCTGGGTGACAGATGTCATGGTGAGAAACCCAAGCCTAGGGAGCTGCAGGTGAGCAGACCCAGAGGTGGGTACCTGTCTGGGTCAGGGGCAGGTCCCTCACCTCAATGCCCCGGTGGGAGCTGCAGGAAGCCTGTCCATTGAGCTGCTTATGCTGCTGAGTGAGGAGGCTGTGTCCATGCTGGAAGTGGAACTCTGCAGCTGCCCAAGGCCAGTTCTATATCTGCTTGGGAGGCTGCACTGGTAATGTCAGGAGTCATTTCCCCRGTCCCGTGTGGAGGAGGTGGCTACAATGATGCTGTCCCTGTGTATTCTATTGCTCACCTGGCGTGGTGCCTCTGGAGCAAAGAGTGTTCAGCACTGCTGTACCCTGGTGAGGAGGGGGGTGTCCTGTAGCTTCCAGATGCAGAGGCTCATGCAAATCCCCATGTGCTGTGAGCCAGGATGCTGGGGAGCTGTCCTGCTGTGTTTGCTGTGTGGGTGGGGGTCCTGGGCCTCTGGCACTGTGCCCTCCCTGGAGGCAGAAGCCATGGGTTACACACCCTCCTGCAAYCTTGAGCCCCAGGGCACTGTTCCCTGCTCTGCACACCCTGCTTGTACCCCCTCTCTGCTTAGCAGAGCTGCCCTGAAGGTGTCCACAGCTGTGGCTGTTCTGTGGCCAGTGCCTGGGTCCTGCAGGCATCCTCTTCCCCCATCCCCGTGGCAGTGGCCTGCGTGGGGCAATGACAGAGGCTCAGTTCAGAGTTTTATATAAAAAATGTATTGAAGGAGATATTTACATCACAGTATCATTTACATCACGGCAGAGGTGGCCAGAGCAGAGCCCCGCTCCCCCAGTGCACCCCCCTGGGGCCAGGGCAACCAGGCTGCGGGCTGAGCACCTGCTACCAGCTTGCTCCGGCCCTTTGGGTGGCCCTGGCTCAGCACAGGGCTGGTATCTCTGGAAGCATCTACCTCCTGTGTTCCCCTCAAGTTCCCAGATGCTGCCATCTCCTGGGATATAGGATCAGGAGAGGCCAGGAGGACCAAGCACAGCCACGGCACAGACACGGGGCACGGCAGGGACCAGCCCTGGGCACAGTTTCTCCTGGCAGGGACTATGTGGAGACGTTGATGCGCTGTGGAGCACGTCGGCGCCGCACGATGCGTGGCCCTGTGCTGCTGCGCCGGTGCTGTGGGGAGCCATGGAGGCAGAAAGGGCTCAGCAGCAGCCAGAGGTAGAGCAGCACACAGGCCCAGCATGAAGACACCTTCACCCAGAAGGTTGACCAGCTGCCATGTGTGAAGGTGGTCTCCAGCACTGCATTCTCGTAGCTGGTGGGAGAGAGTAGGCACTGGATGCCCAAGGGATGCCAGCACAGGAGGTTCCAATGCCAGCTGCAGCCASGAGGCCACCCTGTGTCCCAGTGGCCACATGTCCCTGGGCATGTCCCATCTGCCTTGGACCCTCTAGCCCTTCTTGCTGCACCACACAGCTGCCACTGGAGTGATGCAGGTCTGTGGGCGCAGAGGCCTGAGCATCCCCAGCAGGTGCCAGCTCGGTGATACCATCACAGCCCAGCACAGAGCTTTGGAGTGAGAGTAGGGACGGCTGGGCAGCAGCACAGGGCCCTACCTGAACCAGTTGGTGAGTGTCATCATAACGTAGAGCGAAGCAAGGATGAAGACAAAATGGAAAGCTGAGTAGCTGTAGGCCACCCGGTCCTGCTCATCCTGGATGATGAACTGTCCCCTGGCGTTCTCCTCCACTTGCTCACATATCTGGTCAGTGCCTGGGAGAGTGCATGGCACCCCTCCCTCACCGACACTCCCAGGCTGGCATACAGGCTCTGCCCACTCTGCCACATGGATCCTGCACCCACCTTCACCTCTCAGCTCCTCCTCCATCTTCTCAGGGCAGCAGAAGCAACAGGAGGGTTTCTGCAGTGAGAGGAAGAGTGGTGACTGCCCAGCCCTTTGGCCACCATGGCTGGGCTGAGCCCTGCCTAGCACCCGGGCAGGTGACACGTGCCATGGGCTGCCCTCTGTGCTTAGCTAGACAGRCCTGTCCCTCACTGGGGCTGGGATAGGAGCTTGAGATGGTGGATCTGGGGTGCCCAGGGCAGGAGGATACGGGGCCCATCCATACTCACTTTAAACTCAAAGCTGTAGACTTTGACCATCCAAAACGGCCCAAAGATCTCAGCGAGGTAGGAGGCTTCATTGCTGTACCCAGGAAAGAGGTAGAAATCGTAACATGAGCACCCATCACCCTAAGCCAGGCTCCCAGCCTGCCCCAAGGATTCCCCACAGCCACAGGAGCCCTGGAGTGCTGCCCCTGCCCACCCACCAGTGCCCCAGCTGCTCTTGTCCTGCCACCCCTTGAACATTCCTGGCTCTGCTGGCCATGGGGATGGGGCACTGCCAGCCAGTTGGGCTGGCTGTGCCCAGCAGGGTACACGCACCATGCGAAGAGCACGCAGGCATACATGATAGCAGCACCCAGCACAGCAACGGTGGTGTCCTCTGTCTGCAGCTCATCCTGCCGGACCCCCGGGAAGCAGACAGTCAGGTTCTGCCCCTTGTAAAGCACTGCAGGGAGGTGGAGGTGAGATGGGCATGCATCATGGCAGGGACTGCTGGTGGTGGGCAGGGACACCCACCTCTCTCTGGGGGACGGCTGGACAGTGCAGAGAAGGTGAGGTACATCACGTAACAGCTGATGATYGAGGACTGCAGCAGCCCTGACCTTGGCTGCTCTGCAAGAGTGGGGACAGATGTGTTACTGGAGTTCCTGGAGTGCCATAAGGTGGCGGGTGGGGTGTGAGTGGGYCCTGGGCAGTYCCCTCCTGCCACTCCCCCATCCAAAACCTTGTGCCAAGGTACAAGAAGGGCCAGCAGGAGCCCTGGGGAGCWGGGTTTCCCTCCAATGCCCAAGTGCTGGCCCTGAGCTGGGGGCCCACAGTCACCCCCAGCCCAGGACACAGCTGGCCATGCAGCATAGCATAGCTGGCTATAGGACATAGCAGCCCCTGCCATGCCATGCAATGTGATACTCACTGAGCCGCACACACGGTGTGATAGAGATGAAAGACATGATGCCACAGAGGCTACCATTGATGGTGAGCAGTGCTTTGTTGAGGAGGCAGGCAGCTGGGTGGGTGTAGAACTTGTAGAGGAAGAAGAAGGCAGCAGAGGCAAGGGTGTAGAAGATGGCTGTGGCCAGCAGCACAGCCAGATACCAGCGCTTATCCTGTGCAGCACCTGTTAACCTGTGGGAGAGTGGGTGAGCAGTGGCAGTGGGCAAGTACCCACCCAGCACCCCAGCACTCACCAGTTCTTGTTCCAGGTGTGTGCAAAGGCTGTGATCAGCACCAGYTGGATGAGGATGAAGGCGAAGCCCCCACAGACACCTGTGTAGTGCCAGGCTGGAGGGAGAGAGCAGAGGCGATGGCACAGGGCAGGTGGGGGCCAAAAGGGGTGCCCAGAATGCCAGCTCAGACAGGGTGGGGGACACACCTTGGATGAAGTTGTCCTCAGGGATGAAGAAGCTGGCAGCCCAGAGGCTCACCAGCACCAGCAGCTTCAGCAGCCAGAACCTGCAAGGCAGTTAACGTCAGTAGGAGAGAGCCCCTGACAGCCCCATGCCAGGACACCCCGTCCAGCCCCGCGGCCCATTTTTACCCATTGTGGAGCTGTGCACGGCAGTCAGAGCTGGAGCGCACGTTGAGCAGCAGGGCAGCCTGTGCGAGGTGGAAGCAGGCAGTGCCAAAACACACCCGGTACACGGCWGAGGAGCCCACCATCCGCTCACAGKCCGTGCCCCCAGGCAGGTGTTGGCACAGCACCACTGAGAAGGGCATCTGCAGGCACAGCAGTTGATGGGACAGGGCTGCTGGTGTGTCCACCCAGCACCCACAGTGCCCACGGCATCTGGCACATCCAAACTTTAGATATTCCCAATACCTTCTCTAGTACCTTTGGGACCCCAATCATGCCAAGCAAATCCTGCATCTTTAGTACCCCAACACCCTTTCCCCCTTGGTATTTCCAGCAGCCCCAGTACTATCCCAGCATCCCAGTATCCCCAAAATCACAGTACTTTTGACTCCCCTGGCAATTCTGGCACACACAGTGCTCCCCTGCATGCCCCTGRGTGCTCCAAGGTGCCTGGCAGCACAGTACCCCCAGAACTCATGGTACCCTTGAGACCCCCAGCACTGCTGGGACCCCCAACACTCCCAGTACCCTGGGYGTCCCAGCTCCCTCTGTCACCTTCTCCGTGATAGCCTGGGCCACAGTGCGGGACAGCATGAGGCAGCACACGGCAGAGGCCAGGACATGCAGGAGCGTGTAGAGGATACGTGTGCTCGTGGACACACGCAGTCCGTGACAACCGCAGCAGAGCTGGGGAGGGGCATGGTCAGTGGGGATCCCAAGGGGTCAGCATTGCTCCCCAGCCTGGCCCAGCAGGGGCCACCCACTCTCCCTACCCACCCTCCCCACCCACTCTCACTCCCAGCCGTGCTCCTAGCCCCACCAGACCCTAAGACCCACCTGGAAGAGCAGTGGGTGCAGGAGGTACCCGCGTGCCCGTGTGCCCGCCATGGCCCAGCTTGGCTCTGCTCAGCCCCCGCGGCGTTGATGGGATTAGGGGATTGTCAGCTCGGCCCGCCCTGCCATCTGCTCACTGCCCCCTCCGGGCAGTCACCCCTGGTGTGGTCCATGGGCACTGTCCAGTGACTCCTGGCCATGGGCATCCCTGCCTAGACCCTGGCCCCTCACTGGGCAGGGCGAGGCCAAGGCAGGTGGCCTGGACATGAACTGGCGTGAGGGGCACATAGGGACTGTGGATGATGTCTCCCTGATGCCAGAGCAGTGCCGTACAGCTGCGTGGAGGGCCTGGGGAGTGTGGGGCTTACTGAAGGGCTAGAGCACAGGGGCACCCTGTGGGTGGGTATAGAACTTGTAGAGGACATTATGTCCCTTGAGCCACGGACCTGCTGAGTAGGGGGACAGCGAGGCACATCCATGAGGTAGCAGGATCCCCCAGGGTCGGCAGGAACTGGGGACGAGCAAGGGGATGCAGGGGGCTCTTTGCTGGGGCTGGCATCACCTTTCTTCAGCTGYTTCACAACCATTCAGGCTTTGTGCTGGCAGAGCCCTGACACGGCAGATGCCGGGGCCGCGGCTGCAGTGACGGTGACAGATCCCCCGTGACCCCCGGTGCCACCCACAGCGAGGGGCACAGCCCGGCCCGAGGGACACGGTGTCCCCATCGGGTGGGTGGTGGGTGACGTGACACGCGGGAAGAGAGCAGCGGGGTGGGCGCGCCTGTGCCCGCGGCAGCCGGGGCCGCGCTGCCGGTACGGCCTCCGACAGTCCTGCATCAGGGCTGGGGAAGCACGGCCACGGCCCGGGGACCGGCCAGAGCTTCGCTGCGGCCTGGCTCCTCCGACAGCGGTGGGCAGCGGTGAGCGCAATATCGGAGCCGCTGACCCGGCAATCCCAGTTTACCGCCAGCGGGTACTCTCGGGCAGCGGCGAGGCCTCGCAGCGCCAGGGACCGCCGGTACCGAGCTGCCCGAAGGCCGGGAGTGCCGGCACTGCCAGCTCCGAGCGGCCTGGAGCCCCGGGAGCACTGAACGCGAGCGCTCAGCGGGGCCAGGCCCGGTGGCGGGC